GAGTTTAAGGCAGCTGTAAAAATGGCTAAGAAGGTATGTGGGAAAGTTCACTATAGATTTTAATTTTCATTTAATAATTAAAAAAATGCTTTTTAATCTATGAAGAGAGGGGAACAGCAGATCCGCTCCAACAAAGCCATGAAGCTTATGTTCAAGGTCTGTAATAGACTGGGTGGAAAGAAACACCAGTAAGCTCAGCAATGGTTTCATTTGGAATCTTAGCAATATTGTGCTTCCCACATCACCTTTGTACCAAACCTGGAGCATGATGATTGCAGAGGGAGCTGTTTTCCTGGTCTGCTGTGTTAGCCCTAGAGGTGTTTCAAGGCTGGAATAATAAATGTGGCACGGTAGGATTGACTGAACTCTCCTAGGGCCGATTGGGAAATGCTCAATAAGGTTGGACTTCAGGTGTCCCTTAGCAGAGCCCAAAGGCATCCTTGCAATTGCAACACAGACAAATTTACCAGACACGGTAAAGGGCCCCAGCACAGGCCAGTGGCCTGCTTTGAAAGGGGCGTGGCTGACCTGTGACTGCATCCAGTCATGAACTGAAATGCTAGGGATGTTGAAAGTCAGGATTATATTGGTAAAGCTGTGTGTGAAGCTTCACGACTGATGGGAGTAATTGACAATATTTATTTTCCAGCACTGGATTGGAGTGAAATATCAGCTCTTCAATCCCTTGCTTTAATCCAACCCTCTGAAATCTAAGTTCAAACCAAAGCAAAACAGAAAATTCTTGTTTTAAAGGTAAGGAGAGTGGGAGAGAAGCCTCTAATCAAACTGTCCTGATAATTGAAGAATCTGTTGGTGAAAACTAATATTGGAGAGTCATGCAGAGAGCAGGAGCTGAACCTTCCCACTTCTTACCCAGAGCTGAAGACTGACCATGAGTGACGGCAGCATGCTTAGGCAGTATCACTGCTCTCTCAAAGCCATCCTCTTTACCACTGACCTAGCCCCTAAATCTTCACCATGGTGTCCTCAGTGTATTGCACCCATATTTCAGCCTGGTGGGAGCAGTCGCTCCGAGCTGTGTTCTCTCCTTTTCTCTCCAGCCAGTCTCCTAATTTCATAGCCTATTCAAGGCTGAAGACTTCTTTTTTTTTCTCTTTTGTGTCATCCAGGAAACACACCCACCTCTCTTGCTCCAGCCTCATATTCTGCCTCACTCAGAGATTCTGTAGCTCATGTGAAGGAATTTCAAGCAATGCTAACTGTGGCAATTTTTTAAACCATGGAAATTCGAGATTGGAAAATCTTGCTTGCTCATCCAGTCCATTATTTTACATTCTAGCCTAGCCCAATTCCTGTAAGATTCTTGCCTGCAATACATTTTCCAGTGCATTATCCAGCCTGCATCCTTTGCTTCCCATGAGAAACTGTACCACAGAGGACTACTTTTCACTGTTTGGAAGAAGTTTCTAAAGTTTTCTTTCCATTCTTCCTGATCTAATTTCTTTAAGTTCTGCCTGTGTTAACATGCTAGCTGGGCTCTTCTGCCTTCATGCTTACCTTGTTCAGGTGATGGCAAATAATTCTTGTTCAGTCAAACTGTTTAACCACAATGCTTAATGCTTAGTTGTAAAGCTCAGCAATAATAGTCCTTGGCTACCTGGAAAAGACTAACATTGAGATTAGCATGTTAATGGGTACACAGAACACAGCAGACATTGCTGGTAGTGCTGCCTCTTTATTATAGCAGTCACTTGACACACTCCATCACAAGGTCTGGCTTTGGTTACTTTTGCCTTTGCCAAACTTGACACAAACATCATCTAGCTCATGTCTGCTTCAGTAGTTTTATAGGGTTCTTTTTGGTTTTGTTTTTAATTTCAGTCATGACCACTTTTCTATTTCTTGAGAACAAGGCTGGCAGGGGAATATTCTGTTTTATCTACATTTTAAAAATCACAATTACTTTTTCTTTAAAAAACCCAACAACCCACATTTTGAGCAATGTGTTGCATTAAAGTAAATCACATTTTTTCTGTCAGAATCAGATCTTTTGTCATCTATGACAAAGGCCCCTGCAAATTTGGCTAAATAATGAGCTTTTGAGATATTGCAGCTTGGGCCTGCTCAGAAAAAAGTAATGGGGAGTAGGAAGGACAGTTGTTTATCTTTCTTTTAAAACTGTGAGCCTGAGTTTAAGACCTAAGTTATAATGTATTTGTACAAAGACCCCTGGCAGTGGCTGCAGGGTCACCTCATTCTGGCCTCCCTTGGGCCAGGATGCTGTTGCTGTGCCTGGCCCCTTCTTTCTGTGGCTGGCTCACCCTTGGGAACTGATGTCCTTGGCCCATGCATGGAACTGGGGTTACCTGGGCATGCGGAAACCTGGCTATGAGGAAACAGGGAGGTGTGGATAGAGGAGGAGAGAGAAAACAAAACAAAACAAAACAAAAAACCCTAACTGAAAGAAAGCCAAACAACAACAAAAAAAAAAAAAAAAAAAAAACAAAAAAAAAAAAAAAAAAAAAAAAAAAAAAAAAAAAAAAAAAAAAAAACCAACACAAAAAAAAACAAAAAACAAAAAAAACCAGCAGAAGAGAGGCAGACGCCCAATTTCTCTGCTGGCTGTCTCCAAAATATTTTGTGTTTTTGTTTTCAACCACTGGGGCACGCCTTTCCCTCAGGACTTGTAGGGAAGCCTGGGTGCCCTGAAACTCCCCTGGCACAGCATACACGTGCTGTATCCACCCCATGCCCATGGCAGTGACACCATCTGGTTCTGGCATTCCTTGCTCCCACTGGGCCTCCAAGGCACAGGGCCAGGGCCCCAGATCGGCGTCACTGCTGCCCTGTCCTGACCTGTCTCCTCCCTGGTGCACAGGTGGCTTCAGTGTGCTGCCCACCACAGCACGGAGGCCATGGGACACGTGAGCCATGGAGACTGGATTTGACAGCAGGACTGTCTGTGAAGCCACGGCTCCAAAATGCCATAAAGGAATGGAAAGGAATCCCAAATCCTCATCAAATCTGAGGAAAAAAGGAGATGCCCTCAATCCTGGGTAACTATCAGGATATCCAGAAAGATTAAAGGTGCAATTGTAATATCTAGCATGATTGTTTTCAAAGCACCCACTGTAAAAAATCACCTCTACTCAGCACTGTAAGGAAAGCTGGTCTCATTTTTCTCTTCAGACACCATATTAGACCTTGACTCCTCTGACCTGTGCTTGCTAGCACCCTTGCTCTGTCAGGAAACCCAGCCTGAGAAACTCGCTCGTGCCTTCTAACCACCATGCTTACTGCATTACTTGCCATGCTGCCTCTTTATTCATTAATCCTTCCCCTCCCAGTTTTCTCTTCCTCCCATTTTTTTTTTTCTTGTCAAAGCAAGGAGTTTTTAATAGCTAAAGAACGAAAACACCTCCCACGCCTTGCCTTAAAAAAGCTAACTCTCTGTCTTACTCACTCTTTTAGATTTCCAAACCTTTCCTGCTAGCTTAGATGTTTCATTTGAGGCACTGGTTCCTCAAATACTAGCATGTGAGTAGAACTTTAATGAACTATGTAGCTCCAATGGCCTTGAGAGGATAATCCATGTAAATAAATAAATCAGATGTGGAATGGACACCATGGCCTTTTGCAGGGAGGGAAAAGTTTTCTGATTTACATTGTGATTTGATTGGAAAAATGAGATATTATGAAGGACTTTATTCCAGATGGAGAGTATCTCCCTTGCAAAAAATTTTAACAGTAGTCTTGAAGTTTTTCAGGGTGCTAAGGTCAATGCAGATGGATTGATTAAATAATCTTTGGAGGCTTCCTCTAACTCTGCTTATTCTGATTCCCTATGGTGAAATGGAGCAAAAGATAAATTGAAGCAAGGAACAATTGCTTTTTCTTTCAAATTTCCATGAGTGAAACCAAAGTGCAATGTGGTTTAACTGTATTGTTTCAAATAATTTTGTTTTTTGCTTTAAAACATACTAAACGTATCTTTGACTCCAAGATCACCTGCATCTGTGTGAAGTACTCTTTGCACAGATTAATTTTAGGGCCTCTAATTTTTTCATTACCAAAACAGAATGTCTCCTGCTGTCTTTGTGCTGATTCCAGTAACAAGGATCCCCTGTGCTGTAGATTGGCATCTGTGACAATGACTCCAAAGACCCAACCTTACAGTGTGTGGAAACAAGGGCTATTTTGAACTATCAATCCAGCCATGGGTATGTGGAGCTTAGCACAGTTTACTCTGTTCCTGGACTTAGGTTTGTACACTGCATTGTGTTCCATTCTGCTGGAGTGAAATTCCTAGCAACACCCAATTAAAACAAGCACTGAATATTTACTCCCCATCACTGCCACTGCTTTGACTGCAGTGTAAACGCACCACTAATGACTTGGCTGATGGGAGGGGAAAATGATGTGTCAGAGCCAAGTACAGAACTAGGAATTTGGGCCACCAGCCAGCTGGTTAGATCACAGTGTGTGCCTCTAATGAAACACATTGATTTGTGACTCTTACAATAACATTTTTAGGAAATCACTTCACTGGGTATTTATTTGTGTGTTGGAACAGCCTGGTCAGGTTGGAAAACTAAAGCAGACAACACTGTTTACAGAACAAGAGTAAAATTTTAAGAATGAGATTAATTAATAATTGGAATAACTTTTCTAAGGATGTGATGGATTCTCCATCATATTCTACTGCACAGTCAATACCAGATTGTTGTATAAAATATGTGCTATAACTCTGGTAGGAGTTCTGTGTATCACTAGAAGTGATTATCCAAAGTTATTTGGGTTCTGTTACACCTGAGAGGAGATTATGTTGTTGCAATTGTTCCTCTTGATGATAAAAAACACCAGGAGCCTGTGGTAGTCATTGAGTCTGGGTGTTTGTGATTCTGAGTAGTAACAGACTGAGATCTTGTCAGTGGTAGATTTAAAAGTAGCAACAATTTTCATGGAGGGGACTACCAAATTACAAAGGCTCATTCTGCAGAAGTGGGTGCTCTGCCAATCTAGTGGCTGATATAATGTGCTGTGATGATTTAGCAAGCTCAGAAAGAATTAAACCATCAATAAAATTACAGACTTGGTACATTTCAAAGCATCTGCTCAGATCTCATGGAATTTCTTGGCTAGTACATGTTCAGTCAGACAGAAAGCCATGGGAGTGAATTCATGATCACCTTGTATCCCACTGGATGCCTCAGAAGCGCAGATGGGAATAGAGAGCAGTGGATAAGGTAAGCATTTATCTGCTTGGAGTTTTGTACAAACCTTTTCTGGACTGGCACCTCTTTAATATCCTTATAGATTTGTGCATAAATTTGTGGTTCTCTTGTCTGCTTGCAGTTTATGGTTAGCTAAATTACACAAATACTATTTTTTTTTTTCTGTGTGCTCTTCTGAACACATCCTAGAGTTTAAGTCCTCTGTGAAAAGCAACGCCCTTACCTTATATATAATATATAGTCTTATATTTCCTATCCAGAAATTAAGACACCTAGAATCTCCAGTGAGTCCTCAAAGTCTTTGTTGCTGCATCTGATTTTTCCCTTTTCATGTCTGCTTTCTGTGTGGATTTTGAGAGTCTGATAACCATAAAGATTAGGAAAAAAATCCAGCCAACTAAGACTTGTTTCAAGAAAAAAAAAAAAATAGTTAGGTCCAAACTGACTGGTTTGTCCATCTTTAAGATGCATTTACTTATCCAGTTCAATCTTTATTTATGCCACAGTCTCAGTGTCTAGCAATGTAAGCTGATCATCTTAAAAACAGAATTCACCTTTAAATGTGCTTAGATTAGAAAAAAATATGCCTGGTGAGGTCATTTTCAGAGCAAGAGTTAATGCATCATGCAAACAGCTAAATAAAGGTTACAATCTGAGTGGAATTATTCAGAGCTCAGGGAGAAATCTGGCATTTGCAGTCTGTCACTGGGTTTGAGAAGTCTGGCTCTCTCCATGTCACTGTCACTCGGGAGACATCCTGCTTTCTGTGCAGCAGTGAGGGAGGGGACTGCGGCTCCGAGTGATCTCCCTGTAAAAACAGCAAAAACAGGAGCGGTGGGAAGTGTCATGTGCAAGGAATGTGTGGAATGAGGGGTGAGTATGAGCCTGTCTTTGTCCAGTTTTCACAGAGCAACTCTAAGGGTGTAAATAGCAACCCTTCCTCCTCTCCTTTCCTCTTCGGGTCAGCTGAAGAGCCAGTGTCAGGACTGCAAATGGTCCCTGATATCCCTGGAGCATTGCTGCATGGGGGGCTATGGGGAGTCATGTGCCTCTTGAGACCCACCAGATAAATATTGCAAGTCTTGGGGCCTATCTGGCAAGGTCTCCTTGATCTTCTTTTCCACCAACATCTCTGGGAGTTGAATTTGTCACTTTGGGGCAGGATACACCCAAGCCAGGATATAGATGGTGATAGAGCCATGATAAAAATGCATCACTTGTCAACGCCCAGGATATTTTAGAGTTGGCAATCTCCACAGTGGTGCTGTGCGACAATTTTGGGGGGGTTTGCATTTTGTTTCCTTGTTTTGTTTCTATAAGTCAAGCATTTGGCTGATTGCACAGGAAATCAACTGCTCTGGGCATTCATTTCAATGGACGAATTTTAAACGAGACACCAGGGACTGGCTGCTGCTGAGTTCAAAGAAAAAGAGACATCCAAAAACTCTAGCCAGAGCCAAATTATGGTGGGAAATATCAGATACAAAGAGCAGAAAACTGAAGGCACAGCAGGGTGAAAGACTGATACAGCTTGATTTTCCTGTCTATAATAGGTCAGACTGAGGTGAGGTTAACATGGAAAATTAAAAAAAAAAACAACAAAAAACAACCAACCAACCAACCAAGATCTAAACCAAAACCAGATAAAATCCCCATAATTTTGCAAAAGGGAGTTTGTTGAACATCAGGAAAGATTCTCAGGAAACAGGATGTTGGTGTTCTATGAGTTGTATGCAATAATCTGGGGAAATTTAATGTGATACTTGACAAAATATTGTGAAAAGTGTTAGAAAGAATAGTTTCATGCAGGGCAGAAGGTGAGCAAAAGCTCAGCTTCTGCAATTATTCCTCTTTTTTTTCTTTTTCCAGTGATTTCAAGTGTTCCCAGGCTCAGATAATTCCAAGAGACGGACCTACACCCCATTTAAGAATAAAGGTAAAGAGTTTGTGCTCACAAAAATGTTAAAAAAAAAAAAAAAAAAAAGAAGGCTATGGGGGGGGAAGGATTTTCAAGGGAAGGAATAGAAGTCTAAACTTCAGTGTCGCTTCCCCCAGCATACACGTGAGCAGCAGAGACTCCTGAGAAGACTAGACAAAGATTGCCATCTTCTGGAAGGATAAATATCTGCCATTATTCAGAATACTAAATCTGCTATAAGCATGTTTTTTAAACCATAGCATATTTCTGATAACTTTATTTTCCAACATGAATTATTATCCATATTAAACTAATTCAGTTTAATTTCATTGATATATATGACCAGCTTTAGAAACTGATAGAGAATCTTGAGTTTTAATGATAGTCTAACCAAATTTAAAATTAGGAAGGTGTTAAGGATTATCAGTAGAGCTGGACTTTATCTATTCTTGAGTTTGTAAACCAGACTTTTATTTATTTATTTATTTTAACTGAGCATTTAGAAGTTAAATTTAAGGTGTCCAGATGCGGAAAGACTAAAAAAAAAAAAAAAAAGAAAGAAAAAATCAATCACTCTCTTTTTAAATGGCATCAGCTGTTGTTCTACCTACTTGAGTAAATTAAGTACATCTGTTTCAAACAGAACCTTTTTATTAATCAAAATCCTTCAGGAAGTCCATGGAGTACAAGGACATTTAGCATTGCTTTCAGTTAGTCCGTCTTAGAAACGCTTATATATATTAGAGGAGTTTATGCAGTGATGGGGATTAAAATAACCACAGAGCTACTGCCCATTCTGCTCAGGGCAGGAAGGGTCAGGAGCCCAGGATAGCACAGCCCATGTGCTGGACCGTGAATTTCTCCTTCTGCTGTCGTGCTGTGTGGGGCTGTCACAGGCTGTACCGTCACCCAGAGCTATTGCAGCAACTGCCTCCAGCCTCTTGGCTCTGCTGTTGGACACGGGGGATAAGGATGGATGTACCACTCGTTTCCTCTGTCTTGGCAGAGCAGCATGCAGGGAATCTGCCTTGTTCCCTCCCAGTGGTGGTGCAAGCTTCACCCACTTGGCACTGGGCAAAGTGCTTGTGGGGAAGACAGGATGTGTCTTCCTTTGGGATGTTCCCCTGCCATGCAGTTTGATTCAGTGAAGCACTGCTCCATGGCATCTAGTACATTCTCATGAGAGGTGATGTTGTTCTTACTTTTCATACGTTTGATACCACACAGGTATTTTGAGAGCCTTTAAACTTTCAGGACAGGAGCTCAGAGGTGACTCTGTGTGAATGTGAATCTCTGTCTCTTCTTACTAGGTTCGCAAATTCACCAATGTGAACCAGCTGGGATTCCCAGTGACCTTCACATTTTGGTAAAAGCTGCCACTACAAGTGACACTGACAATCTATTTTATTCTTCTATGCTTTGACTATTGGCTTGACTTGCTGCTGTTTCAAATACCTCCTTCGTGGAAGTGATGTCATGATGTCTGCCTGCCACTCAGCAGCTCTTCTTTTGGCATCAAAATTTCCAGTGCCCATGGGAAGAGCTGTATTGGTATCCCTTCAGGGACTGAAATCCCCAGTCCTCAGAGCAGATGCAGTTGCATAAACTTTCCTCCCCCCCATTATTTTTTTTTATTCTGCCCTTTCTGCAACTATCAGGTGTGGCCAGGAAGACATCCTAGGGCTAGGATGCTTTTAGTCTTTGCCATTCTGCTGAGACAGTGCACAGTGCAAGGGGTGACCTGACACCAAAGGTGCTGGCAGTTTCCCAGCTAAGGTCACTCCTCCCCTGTAGTACTGGCCAAAGCTGCCATCTTCCTCCATACAAGCTCCCAGATAGCTACCACATGGGGGTGGCTGGAATCTTTTGGTGTTTTAAAGAAACTTTCTACTCAGTTAATACAGGTCACTCTTCTGCACTTAATCCCAGCCTGCCGCACCAATCGCTTCCCATATAATCTCCCAGAACAGCTGTGCTGTGATTGCATTGTGGATTACAAAATGACCATTTTCCACAAAACAGCTGCTGATCAGAAGGATAGCATTTAATAATCACTGGCGAGGACAAGGAGGAGAGGACCAGACAAAGGAGGAAGGGATTTTGCTGCAGTTGAGTTTCTTGGAGGATACAGAGATGAACAAAACAGCAGACAAAGCGTGAGTTCCACTTCTGTGCTGTTCATCCAAATTAACAGGACTTCAAAGACTTGCTACTAAGGTAAATTCAGCTATCATTCCTTTTGGAGCTATCTAGATATTATGCTTGGTTGCTATCAGTGAGTGCTTGGCTTTTGTGAAGGGGAGCTTTTCTAACAATGTTTTCAGGAAGTAGTTCAGATTTGCTTCTCATTCCGTATGTCTTCTGCATCCTTGATCCACTTCCTACTTCTGACTCATTTGTTTCTTATATTTTTTATGTCTTTTCCTTAACACTCTTCCTGAAATTATACGGCCTTTCAACTACTGTCATAAATCAACTGGAGAGAATATTTTTCCCACTACTGAAGATTTAAATTAGAAAGATGATTTTTGTAAATATTGTGAGTGGATTTTTTTGTTAAATAAAAGCCTTAGCAACCCAAAACCTGATGACAGAAAATCTTATAATTAAGCATTGATGAAAAACTGAAAAACTTTTTGTGCTGAAGGTTTCAATTTTCAGGTAAAAAGCTGTGGTTTTGAGAAGAGCAATTTTGTCTGCAACTTCCTTTCCAGTCATAAGCCAAATTTTCCACCAAAAAAACCTTTCAGTGAGAAGTTTGCCACTAATCTTAGCCAGAAACTCTTCCTAGTACGTGTCTTTTCTGCGAAAATGATGATATTGAACATGCCTTCAAATCACAAAAGCCATGAATTATGGCATCACTGAGACATTACCATCTCCAGGGTGCAGAAAGAAATGTCCTGGTAAAGAGACAAAAGAAGCCAGAGTATGAAACAACACAAGAAAATTTCACGACCCAAGTATTTTCTTGCTTTTAGTGAGGGTTTTCAGGGTCAGCACTGCTTTCTCAGTGTTGGTTTTCAAGAGGAGCTTCTGCACTCTCTTTGTTGACCTTGTTTCCAAGCTTGCTGGGTAGCAAAAAAAAAAATGATTCTAACTGCACCACTTTTATCTGTGGTGCAGTCACAGACAATGCAAAGCTGGGTCTTGTATTGTTTATTTATAATGATGTCCACAGAATGGTCTTTCTCACTCGTTCAGCATTGGGTGAGTCAGCTGAAGTAAGTGAAGAGGACCCACAGCAGGCAGCGTCTGTGCAAACTGAATCTATTCATGGGTAAATAGATTTTCAGAGTCATAAATAGGAAAGGGTGGGAGTATCTGGATGAAGTTGTGCCAAACATAGGGAGTGCCACGTAGGAAGAGACATGCATTGATTGCATGAAAGTTGATGTGTGGGTAAATGACATCTAATCAATCTATGGAGTGATATTTTGGGGTTCTCAGGAGTCAGTGCAGGGTTTTGCAGGAACCCTAAAGTCTTCATCTTCCATCTGAGTGAGAAAGTCCCTGGTTCACAAACTGCTTTCTGAATTACTTTAAATGATGAGGTGAAATCAGTAAGAATGTTTGTTGCAACATTCACCCTTATAGGGAAAAAAACTTTGGTACTTTGTGTGAAAGCAAAGATACTGCCATCCCACCACCCTACCGAATTTCTGATGTGCAGATGAGCGCTCAGGAGGAAAGTGCTGCTCTGTGGCTCGTACTTAAGCTATCAGGTCTGGATAGCTGGGTGCTCTCCCTGAGCCGGTCACTGCTTTGATGTGTGACCTTCAGCGATATGGGAACATTTTCCTGCCTTGTCCTACTGAGAAATCACTATACTCTCTGCCTCTCTAGGTACAGTAATGAGCTGCTTGAAAAGTGTTTTGGGACACTTGGCAGCAAGATTTCTCATTTAGTTGGAGAGAGCATCCATTGTATCTCATGTAAAGGCAACACATGATATTCAGGGAAGTTGGTTAACAGTTTTTCCCTGTCATCCCTGAGATGGATTAATGTGATGTTCCTTGTGTTTTGCTCATGTGCTCACACACCTCAATGCACTAAGTTCTGCTGTGTCACCCTCTCTTCCACAGTACAGATATTCAGCACACTTTGTAATGTTAAATCTGAACAGGTCCAGTGGCCTGAGTGCCAGAGTGTTCATAACCCCTCCCCAGAGCTGCATGCTGGGAAAAGGTGGGATTCATAAGGCTATTTGGGACAAGTGGCTGGTGTGATGGTCTCTCCTATTTGTGTGTTGTAGATGGAGCTGCTGAAGGGACTGCCATTGCACCGCACTTTCCTGGCTGTCATCCTGAACCTGCTGGCTCTCACCCTCTCCACCACAGCCTTGCTGGGCAGCTACTGGTGCACTGGGACCCAAAAAGTACCCAAGCCTTTGTGTGGGAAGAGCAAAGCCTCCCAGTGCGTGGGTGTCCCCATGCCATCTGATGCAGATGCGAGCAATGTTTCATCTGAGGACACAGTGCATTACAGCTGGGAGACTGGAGATGATCGCTTTGCCTTCAGATACTTCCACACAGGGATGTGGCTTTCCTGTGAAGAGAGCATGGAAGGGCCAGGTAGTGTGTTGCTCAGGCAGCCACAACATATTGCCTCGTATTTCAAACTCCACAGAAGTTTGAAACTGAAAGGTAGAATGCTGAGAACATGTGGAAGAAAATTATTCTTCCTTTTCCTAGATGGTATCAGCCCTGTGCACTGGTGTGGTTATTATATTTCTGTCTTTCACTGGAATGTTCACAGAGCAGGGAAATGGAGAGTGGTTGTCTCCAGTGTGCCCTTTGATCTGCAATAGGGCCTGTGGAGTGCAAGTGATGATGATGGCGGCAGTGACTTTATGATGGCACTGTTCATCCTGTTGGGAATTTCCATGAGCCTCCTTTCCCTTTCCCCATATCTCCATTCCTATACACAGTTTACTTCATGCTCTTCAGGGTAAATTTGTGCATATTCTCTCAGAAATTTAAGTGCAGTGATTTTATGCAGATGTTAATTTTTAGCTATTGATGTGAGGACTACAATAGTTGGTGTTCTCAAATCATCAAACTGAGTAGTTTTGTGTTATTATACAGAGACTGGGCTTTTCTTAAAAAAAACCCCAAATAAATAAAATAGAGAAAGGGAATTACTACCTTATAGATACAAAGAAAACCTGGAGGATCTGAACCCAAATGAAACTAAAGCTAGGAGGTGAATTGACCTAAGGATTAGAGCTGCAATATTGTACTTCCTTTTAGTTTTTGTGATACTGTGACAGGTTCATTAGTGATTTTTGACCATGTGGGACTAGCACTGTAAATCCTGAAATGCCAGGGACTGGTTGTGCAACCTTTACAAGAATCCTTTGGTGCTTCCCTTCACCCTTGACATGTTCCTGCCCAGACCTGCTCAAGTCCTTTTGCTGAAACCTGTGCCATGCCAGCACAGGTGGGTGCTCTGCAGTGCTCAGATGCCCTTTACTGCCTGGCACACACATCAAGGATCAGAACTAATCCAGAAGGTGGCCAACACAGAGATCTGTACCTAAAAATAGAGTGATGAAAGTCACTTTCATCAGGGCCATTCCCCTGAGCCCACCACCCTCCCTTCAGCTCTGCCCAAGTACAAACATCTCAACTTCTTTAACCAAGCCATCCTTCCAGTATAGTATTTTTTCATCTCTGTTTCTGTAAGTTTGAAAATAAATAACTGGTGAAGAAAAGAAGACAGAAGGAGGGGTTGGAGCAGAAGGGAATGTACTTGAAATTCACATGTCCTAACAAGTGGGCTGCTTTTTGTTATGAACATTTTCAGAAGGGCTGTGGAAGGAGATTAGTTTATTTAGGACTAGTTTGGATTGGATTGTGTTTCCATGATGCTTGTGGGAATGAAACTACATCCCTCGACTGATTTCTCTAAACAACTTTTCTGTCCACTGGGCAGTCCTGGAATAACTCCAGTGCCTGAAGGAACAGAGAAAGTATGTAACATCTGGATCGTAGCAGAACACGGGATAGAGCACGGGATAGAAGCACAGTCAGTCTCATTTTCCTGCTTCCTGTAAATCAAGCACAACCCACCCACTACTGTGCATCTTTGAAACAACTGTGTAGACAATAAAAACAACAAAGAAGGGACTACTCTGAACAAGAGGAGTTTGAGTTGAGCTGGAGAAAGGATTTAATTTTCAGGCTAATCGCAGGATCAGTTTAGATGAGCCATTACTGAATATTCTCATTAAAGTTCTAGGTGAAGTAGCAAATTGCAAGTTAATGAGAACTGCAGATGGCACTAAACCGGGTAGCATCCTGAGAGCCATGGATGACAGAAGTAGCACAGGAGATTTGGAAAGATTAGAACTGAGGATAGAAATTAAGAAAATTAGATTCTTACATGAAGCGAAAAAGTCTGGGAGAAAATACTGTGCCAAGTGGAGGAGAGGACCCTCAAATGCAGTAATGCAGTATGCAGGGACAGAGACTGACAGATAATAATGATGGACCCTCAGCTGAGACAGTAGTTTGCCAAAGCAAATATTAACAAAATTTGTTGAAATAGCATGCCTAAAATGTGAGGACCAAGGACCATATTTTTGTATGAGTTTGCCATAGAAGGGGAACTTGCATCTCTGTCACAAAATATTTCACTTGGGAAGTTCTTTTTTTTTTTTTTTTTTTTTTTTTTTTAGAAGCAGTGCTAGATATTTTCTTCTAAGATGAGAGTTTGTGGGAATTCGGCAGAAGTCATGGGTCTGCAGTCTGTTACAAGCTACACCCTTAATAGACCTGATCATCATTAATGTTGTGAATGAATAGCAACAGATCTTTTATATTCAGCAGAGGCTAGTAAGATTTACAAATTGCTGAAGCTTTTTTTTTCCTGAAAAGGTAATTTCTAGTTTTGCAGGCAAATCTTGCCTTCCCATCCTTTGCCTCAGTGAAGGTCTGGAAAGATAGAAAAAGATTGGAAGTGAGATGGTCTGATGGGTAGATTCAAGGATGTCTGGAAGAGAGTGAGATGAAGAGATTTTCTTTTCCCCTATGTTCCCTGCATTGTTTTATAAACTACAAGCTTTGGTTTTGTGTTTCAGAAGAGAAATGCCGCAGCTTCATTGAGCTTTCACCACCAGCAGAGAGAGGTAAGAGCAAATCCCTGTATTTCACTGTAGCTGTACAGTGCACCTTCTAGGGACAGGGGACCTGCAGAATTTTGCCTGTGTGGGGACAGCAGGTTGGGTCCTCAAAGAGCCAGGTATGAAATCCTGTCCTCGTGGCTGCTAAAAGACAAAAGATTTCCTCCCAGATGTTCGCATAAACTTCTGCCATTTGTGAAGTCAGTGCTAGAAACCTCATATTTCCTCTAGTATGAAGTGGGATTTGTCTCATGTAAATTGCCTGGTCTGGGGTTGTCATCTTGCTGTAGTAAAGGGGAAGAGGATGGATGCAGCCTCTGGGCAGTTCCTCCCACACAGGCTACCTGTTAACTCAGTGCTTCAGTTTTGGGGTCTAATATGATTCCAGAAGATGAACCACCTCTTACTTTGTGGTAAGTGAGCAGGACATCTGAAAGTTATGCTTTTGAGGTGAAGTCCCTGCCTCATTAAATACAAAACTGGGTAGGAGAGATCACCCCTCCCGTCATTGTGTCATGTCTCAAATCACCCTCTGGATAGCTTCAGTATACTTTGATGTAAGTGTACATATGCTATGGAGATTCTACTTAATGAAGGCTTTTCAGTTGCTGTGGGCTTGCTAACTATTCCCTGAGATGGAGGCTGGAGGCAAGTCATTTCAGAAGATGTTCATATATGAAGGGAAAGGCCTGGGGTGCAGAGCCTGTGACAGCATTCAAACCCTGAAAGCAAGGGTGTAATAAATTCTGGGAATTTGAAAGTGCCATTTTCACCCCTTCCTGCACAAAGTATCATCTTAACATGACTGGTGCATATGTCATGGTATGGTGGGTTAGCACTGCACATGGGGGTGTGACTGCTGACTGTGGGATGGGCTGAATGAGCTGGGTGTGTGCAGAGCAGCTCCACAATACACAGGCGACATTATAAAACCAAATTACACATCATCAGCCTGGCCTCTCAAGGAAAATGATGCAGAGGTCTCTGTGTATGTGTGGTCCCTGTTACCTCCAGAATACTTTTGACAGGCTGACCTTTAATGAAATATTCTCCTTGATGGTGCTGCAGCAAGTAAGCCAGCTCCTTTAAACAGGGAATGCAGCTCATCTATTTCTGCTAAAGAGCTGAGTGACTCTATGGCACTAATGATGTTGAGTATTCAAGTCAGTGCCACATTAATTAGGGTTTTCTTCACACTCCTTTTCCCTAGCTGAATGTCTCCTCTACAGCCATTAATAGCTGCTAACAGTGGTGTTCACAGTGCTGCTTCATTTGTCAGATTAATGTTTCTTCCTCAGTGAATCCTTTGCTTTTCCGCAGCCCAGCATTACAGAGTGCCTTTCTTCATTCTCCTTCAGTTCTTACTGCGCAGCTGTAGAACTCAGCTCAGCTGTGGACTGTGGTATCACTTAAATCCCACTCGAAATCCCAGCATGAAAGTACCTGCACCCTGTTCAAGAAGCAGGGTGAGCAGTCAGTGTTACTGCCCTGGATGGATATCAACCCCAAGGAACGTACTTTCATTGTAATTGGGGTTTCAGTGAGAAATACAGGCTTGCAAGAGGCTTCCTGAATTCCAGAGGTCATGTCCCAGACAGTCATGGATGCACCATATAGTTCTTAAATAGCTGAGTCCCATTTAAAAAGTTGTTTGCTTTCATTGTTGTCATTAGAGCTTGGATGTGTCTGTGGCTAATTCATGACCATTAGATTTTATGCTAATAGTCAACAGCTTCCCCTGTCTTTTTCTCTTTGCTTTTCTCCTTGCTGTTTATGAATAATGCTGGCTTGTTTACAGAGGGCATTTTAGATCCCCCCAGCTCTGCCATGCTAGAGGAGCCAAGTCCTCCTCTGTGACATGCACTCTGTCCTCTATAGGATCCATTGATCCCTTGCTCATAGGCTGGGGAGATTGCTTTGGGTGTTTATTGTTTTCCTTCATTCCCTTTTATCCAAAGGACTTTCTTTCGGGATTGGGTTGAGAGAAGGGAGTACTCTTGAACATGGTTTAATCCTGTGTTCCTGGCAGGAATCCTGTGGCTGTCACTGGGATCAGAGATGCTGTACATCAGCTTGCTGCTCATCAGCTTCATCCTCCTGATGGTGGAAATTCTGCATACTGGAAATCCTGTCTGTGGGATGAAACTCAATGCCTTTGCTGCCGTATCCTCAGTGCTGTCAGGTAAGTGTATTACTGTAATCTTGGAATCTCAGCACTGGAGAGCCTGCTTTTCCACTCAAGGCTGAAGTATGCTGCTCTGGCTCCTGCTGTAACTTCTTTGCTTTGTCCTTTGTGTCCAGGTCTCCTTGGGATGGTGGCACACATGATGTACACTCAAGTCTTCCAGGCAACAGTTAATCTGGGACCAGAGGACTGGAGACCTCACACATGGGACTATGGCTGGGCATTCTAGTATGTGAGCTCTGAAGCCATCTTCATCCCCCCCAGCCTTTAGAGCTTCACCCATGCCACCCACTTCCTCCTCCTTTCTTGACCTTCTGTGTGTTCCAAAGACAGGTGTACCATGGTTCTCCTACTACTAATCTCCTGTCTTTGCCTCACCCTCTTTTAATAAATGGTGGATGAGGTACTTAAATTAATAGCTACCAAAGGACTGGGAAAACAATGGGGTCACACCTAAACAATTGCCTTCAGCCTTGCTGACTAATTAGGCTTGCCCCTCTGCTGGTTTGCCCTGTTTGGTCTCAACTCTTCCCTGTGTGCAGAGGTCAGTGTCACATTTGTAATGATGCTCTCAAACACACCTTGTTTTTCTGCAATTTTAATAATTGCATGCTGGTTTGGCATCTTCATTAACCAATATTGGGCCAAAAGGCCTATTCCTGCAACACCAAGCCTAGACATGTGCCTAAAGATGTGGGCACAGCTAAGCCCCCAACCAGCAGTCACACTATCTTCTCCAGCACTGGCTCAGCCATATAATGGCAGCTGCACTGGAGGCCAAGGTCACCTTAAGATCGTACTACATGCAGGAAGGAGGGAAAGCAGGGAATAAACCACAGGGTCACTTGTGAGCCAGGAAGAGGAGCTGTGAAAAGCAAGTGGCTCACTGTGCCTTTCTCTAAAGGATTAAGCAGCCAAGCACAGTGGACATGACATACCTGACCTGAAAAACAGTTGGATGAGCCTTGCAGGTGCCCATGGAAAGCACAGGTTCCATTTGCAATGCTGTATTGATGATGACCATGTCGATTCTCAAACACACCAGTGCTGTGTGCCACCCGTGGACATCAAATGCCAGGATGGCAATTTGGTTATGCTCATGTAGACAAGCCTGATGTGCAGTAAGATACTGAGCAGCCCAGCAGCACAGAACTTGCTTCCAAGCTGTGCTCTCCTGCTCTGACCAGTTACAGATGTTCCTTCTGCCTTTTCCCGTGTCACTCCCTACCCTGTCATGGGGATGACCAATATTTATCCCACTAAGAACTGTAAAGCTATGAGCCTTAGTCACTCTAGTTCATGTCTGTGCCCAATGGGTTCTGCCTGGCAAATCAGGGAGAATTGGGGTGTGTCATGGTGTTCCTTACCCTACATGGCTTTTCACAGCATGTGCTTCTTCTGTGTGTCTCTGGCAGCATGGCCTGGGCCTCCTTTACCTGCTGCATGGCCTCTGCTGTCACCACTCTCAATACCTACACCAAGACAATACTGGAGTTCAAAAGGAATCACATCAAGGGATATGATGGGACCCTCAAGGATCACCCTCAGCATCATCAGTGCTTCATACAGCAAATAAGCAGCTACTATGAGCCCAAAGGCAAGGCCTTCCATTCAGTGTCTGAGGGAGTCAACTTCTACACTGATCTGCAGCAGAAAATACTACAGCGGGAACCAGAGCTGGACCTGGATGAAGTCTTGGGCCAGACAATCGGGGAGGATTGCTGTTAGGGATGAGTGTACAGGGATAGAGCTCTTGTTCCTCCCAAACCCCACAGCTCTGGCACCACTATTAGCAGGTTTTGGGGAACTCTTCCAGTCTCTACAGGGAGTGAGGAGGCAGGCATTGGGTCAGGACAACTAGAGTAGGAGTTTGGGGGTTCTCCCTGGTTATATACAGTGTGATGGGTGCCCTCATCTGACAAGGGTGAAACTGGAGGGACATGCTGGTGCCAGCTGTCTCCAAGCACTTTCAGAGTTGATTCAGATGTCCTAATCCCAGTATTGCACTGGGGAACAGATAGTCAGCACCACCCAGGTGGCAAACTGCACTGCTGGGTGGTGTCACATTGACCTTCCGCCAACACCTCCACTTCACTGCTATGGTGAAGGCCATCAGTGTTCATATTGATCAGCTGTCACCCTCTCTGAACATCCTTAATTTCCAGGCCCAAACTCTCCTCTCTGCCCCCAGATTGAATGTCCTGCTGCAGTAGGAATAGGGGGTAGCTTTCAGACAATTCTCTCCTCCTCTTTCCTATCTGTAATAACTCCCACATGTTCTCTCCATTCTGAGGTACTTTGCTGTCTGTGTCTTTTTACTGTTTCTTTGCAACCTTTAAGAATTTGGCAGGACTTTTGTTTCTTATGTTAATTCTATTCATCTGCTCCTTTTTTTCCATTGTAAAAATATTGCAAACAACCCCTAAATCAAAACCCCAAGCAAACTCATCATCTTTCAAAGGTGAAACACTGGTTTACATGACACACGATGCTGTACACAGTATTTATTTTGTTTCACTGCAGTTCAAATACATTTTTCCAACAATATACAGACAGACTCTTTATTCACAGTGGGGGTGGGGTGGGGGTGTGGGCAGGGTGAATTCACATTAGGGAGGAGCTAACACCACTGCTCTTGAATATCAGTTCTCTCAGGAAGAATCTCAGAAGAGTAACTACTTAGGTAACAGCCGATGCACCTTTCCCAGCAAGGTGGTGGCTGGACAGGAGGGAAGAAGCGCTCCTGTTTAATCCCTCATACGTTACTGGTCCTCACACTTTCAGTCCTATTATGCAGCTCTATTAACTGACATTAGCTCTATTATAAACACTAAACCCTGTCTGGAGGAAAATGCCAGGCCTACAGCCATTGCTACAGTTGTGCTAATATATACAAAGCTATTTACACAAAAATACCATTAAACATATACAAACTGTTCACAGCTCTGACATTAGGAGATCAGGGCCCAAAGACCAGCCTTGGGGCTTGCAGCTAAACCTGAAGGGCTATCCTGGAAGCTTTATATAGAAATGTGGGATGATGGAAAGGGTAATACAGCAAAGAGAGGTGTCAAGGGCCCAGGAGACCAAACCTATGGCTAATATGCCCATCTGGAAGGAGGGTCAAAGTCTGCTGTCACCTCATAACTCATGGGGAAATGTGGGGAGGCTGGAAGGGCACATGCTAGATAGAAAAGTCCTTTGCAATCCTCATCTCAACCTGGCTCTGTTTAATGTCAAAGGCCAGGCTTAGAATGGTATACTAGGAAAGGAGTTCCTATATTGTTGCCCTAAACTGTGGGGAACTACCGAGGCACCAAAGTGGTTCCCTTCTATATGGTGTTTATTACTACAAGAAAATTCATACAGATGCTCCTCAAATGCAACAGAGCATGATGTCATGCTCTGGGACACAGAGTGGGACACTCCTAACACACTGTGAACAAATGTGTCCCAGGGGTAGCTTGCTCCTCCTGGAGCTGCACATAGGCCTGGACTGGCACGGGAATGGCAATATTGAGCTCAGAACAGGGTTAAAATGCACAGAAAAGCTTTCTAGTTCTGTCTCTGTCTAAACCTCTAAACCCTGGAGCAGCAGCATAAGAATTAGCTTTTCTGTGACAAGACTGAGTAACCTTTACAGTGGCAGCCAGGATCTGCTGGACCTCTTATCACAAGGGTGCTAAAAGGGGCCTCTACCCATTGGACTGCAGTGTGATGTTACAGTGACAATGTGGGTTCATACAAACCTTAAGGATGGAGAGAAATAAGCTGTGAACGCTTCACTTCTACATCACCCACATATGCCTGAACTTGGTGTCCTGAACTTGGAACTGGGAAAGAAAGACACAAGTGCAAGGGACTGGCAAATGCTGTGGAGACCATCTTTCTCTAGATCAATAATTCAGCCAGAGAACTATCTCTGTAGTTTGTTTGTGAGTCTGGCAACAGCATGGAAAAGAGAGCTGAGAGCACAGGAGAAGTCATAGATAAGACTAAACCTGCAGGAGCCAGAGGCTTCTCTTCAAAAATAAACAGATTAAGGGTGTCCTTTAGCCACAGCACTTGCTTTGACTCATCATGGCCCACTCCAGGCACAGAGCTTGTTAGACTGCTTGGGAACACTGTTTGGACATAAAAAGGTGTGTCCTAAATCTCATTCATAAATTAAACATACAAAAAATATACATACATTGTATAAATTAACACACATATATATAAAGCATGATTTTATATATATATGTATATAAACTCTAAATTCACATTTCTGTGTTACCTGCAAGGAAGCATGCAAGAACAGCATACAGAGAGGGAGCTGCTGAACAAGGTTTCTCTGGTACAGAACAGGTCTGTCTAGGACAAACCTGCCTCCAGCAGCATTCCCCAGACAGCTGAAGAAAGGGGAAGTGCCTTTAGACATTCCCTCTATACAGCCGTTTTCCTCAAGATACACAGAGCAGCTTCCTGTATTCCCAATACAGGCCACAGGTCCAACCAACATCTGAGGAACCACCAGGTTACAACTGAAGAAGGAAAGGCAAACAAATGTTAAAGCCAAAATCCATTATCATCCAGTCTGGTAAAATAGTAGTTTGCAAGTCAGCAACAGAATCTGGGCACCACTATATGGAGAACCCCTGCTTGCCCATGTCAAAACAAATTATTCAGTCCCCACTCTCTGATCCCTCTGCAAGTCTCTCAGTCTCTTATGATCATCATTCCTGCTTCTTTCTAAGATCCTGTGTTGTGTTCAACTGCCTAAGTATATCTTTGCTTCACAATCTGTTCATCTTATGCCCAAAGGGGCAGCCAGTCATCTTGCAGTCATTTTGCCTCCCACCAGTCTCTTTCCATCCCAAAGAGCACCTTAACCGTGTCTGTAGGGAAGAGATCTGATGTTTTCAAAGGCCTGGATTTCATGAGGGATTCCTGCACGATCTCACCTTCTGAGGAAAGTCGGCAAACTTCATCCGGGCAAGAAATCGTCTCACTTCTCCGCGGCTGATTTTTGGAGTCCTGCTGTCCTTTAACCACACCATTCGACCTTGACTCATCATGGCCCACTTCAGGCTCAGCTTGCTGACTGAGAGAAATCCTGGCTGTTTTTCAGATGTTGCAGTTGTTGTCACAGTGATGTGAAATGCATCCTTTTGGAGATCATTAATTCCAACTGGTCCATCAGAAAAAGGCAAGAAAACAGTGGTGAGGAGTGAATGATTACGTTTCTTCCAAAAGAAATCTTATAGCCCTTACTCAGTCAAAACATCCACTAGACTGATAGTGTATTCAGTCTGACTTTACAATTCCATGTACCTTAGTTGATAAGGGAAAATTATTTTAACATTTTTCCATGGAAAGAAACTGAAATATATATCAGAAATGGAAGTGTTTGGTTCCAGGTTATGCTTCTGGGCTTGATATAGGATATGAACATATTTCAAGAATACAGCTGGCTCTCAGCTTTCCTTCCCACACCTGTTAATAGCTACTCTTTACCTCTATAACACGAGAAATTTGTAAAGCAATGGCAAGTTGGGTGACTCCAGTCACTGCAGAACGATCTGTACAGTCCTCAGAAATCCTGGTTCCTTAAAAAAACCCTGTAACAATAGTATTCTATTTGTTCTTGCCTGAACTGTGTTTTTGATACAAGTCCAATTAGATGTTATTACTATGCAGCAGTTTTTCTATGCTTCCTGGCCTACTTCCCTTAGCTCTGGATGAACGGATCTTTTATCCCACACTCCCAGGCACAAGAGGCTGGTTATTTGCTGAACTGCTTTAGAAAGAGCACGGAAATTGAACAGAGACTGTGCAATCTTGTATAGATGTTAAATCCAGATTTACTTTTCCCTGAAAACACACTTATATATTTTGGATTCCCCCTTACTAAAAGAAGGAGGGAGAAGTACAACAGCTCCTATCCCAAAGAGCAAGAGATGGCCAACAAAAGCAGAAGTGTATCTGAGGTGACAGAGAAAAGTTTTTATAGTGATTTTTTTATGCGCTTCATTGAATTAAAAATAGCTCCATGGAAAGCAACACAACTTGTCTGGTGTAAAACATGCATTAAATCAAACTGAAACCTTTCATTGATTAAAGATGTAAGAAACTTTTATTTGCTTTTATTTGGATCTTTTATTTGCAAAGTAGGGGGTGGACAGGATGTTTCTTAAGAAGGAAGATGAATCTTATTTCCTATTGTTGTGCTATGTGTGGTGGACCTTAAGTGCTACCTTTAAAGGCACAACTACAGCCCATTGTTTCTCACAGCTACTTCTCTCTCTGTATTTCTAGCCTAGGTAGTTTTTCCTCCATTTTTACTCACCTGCTGAAGCAATGACTTTGTCTGTTGCATTGGTGAGGTCCAAAAGGACTGTAGGAAAAACAGGATGGAGGAGATAGAGGTGGTGCAGCCCTGGGCGCTCAGGTCTGGGACCAGGTTGCTGTTGGAATGAAAGACACAAAAACATAACAACTGCTAGCAAAGGGGAGTCTTTCTGTAAAAAAAAAAAAAAAATTAAAGTTTTCTCACACTGTGTGTTTTTACATGGATCAAAGAATGAAAAACTGTGGTTTTACAAAGATTAAATCCTGAAATCCTTTTTTCCCTAAAACAGAATTTGCTCTACAACTTCTCTTTGGTAAGGTTGAAATCTAGCTCTGTCATATGCAGCTACATGGGCAAAGCTACAGTCTGGCATGTAGCTGTACAATCTGGCAGTCTG